TATTACTATCTGTAAAGATATAATGGAATATATAGTTTTTATTATTATGTTAGATCAAACCTTTATATTCTCATTTAATTACTTTTATTATTGCAAAATATTCTATTAATTATAATTCAAAATATATTTAAATTCTTTATAACTTTTATCAAAATAGAAATTATATTTTATATATTAAAATATTTATCTATTTTATTACATATAATTATAATTAATAAATAATTTATTTTAATAGATTTATTAATTTTATAATAATTATACTAATACTTTATTTTTATTTAGATTAATTAATGATTTAAAATATTTTAAAATAAAAAATAAAGCTATAATTCTATTTATTTATTTTCAAATAATAATTTTTTAAACTTTATTTTATCAGAAATACAAAATCCTTCAATTTCAAATGAGATATTTTAAATTTTAAATAAAGTAAATCAGAATTTTAGATCCTTTATTTCATTATTTTCTAAAACTTTACATTAGCATATAAAAATTAAAAAACACATATTTTATCATCTAGCTTTATTATTATTTAAAGCATTACAATACTTTGATTTAAGATATATTTAATCTAATACAACTAATCATAATATGAAAATTTTGAAATTATTAAAGAATTTCATTTTTTTACTGATACTTTAATACAAGAATGGGCTATTTACTGTGGATTTAATGAATCTATTGAAGAATTTAAAGATTTAAATATATATTGGTAGAATAAAACACATGTAATACTAGAATTTAATTTATTAGCTTTAATATATATATATGATTACCAGTATCTAGTGTAGATATTAAGCGTAATTTTCTAGTTATTAAAGTAAATAAATTTGTATGAGAAGTTCAAACAATTATTTATTTTACTGTTACGTTCTGTTGAAATCTACATACTCCTAAGAAATTTTTGGCCGAAATTATGTTAATTCTGGCCGAAATTATGATCACGATTTTACGATTTTCACGATTTTTACCCAAGATTTTTAGGTCATCACGCCAACACACCCAAGCCGGTCAATAAGTCACGTTCGCTGGGTAAATTTTTTTTTAACAAGGAAGACTCCCAAGGTCTGCGGACGACCTTGTTAAAGTGATTGGCTTTTAGGCTTGTAATGCTACGTACTGGTTAATAACCGGTTTAACCGGTTAATTAACTGGTTAAAAATTAGCCGGTTATTGCTACGGACAATGAATAATTGAAATATTAGATTGATTGATAATGAAATCTTTTTTTATCTACGATTTTCTAGTTCACAGACAATATGTTTCATATTTTTGACCACGATTAATGAGTATTCTATAATATTATTAAATACTAATTCATATACAATACTTTAAAAAAAGAATAGACAATATATTTCACAATATATTGTTAATTGATTTTTAAAATATGAATAATATTATATAACGAAATTTTAAACAAAAAAATCAAGTTTTATGTTACAATCCTAATAATGAAAATTTCAACTTTTTATTGTTTGGCAGCGTTGAAATAAAGATTTATCAATAACAAAATCAGTAAACGCGCACAAATGAGGTACTACCAAAAACTTTTCTAAAAGGTATAAAAATGTTTGTAATTAATGCTTTGCTCTCCAAATTTTTTCCTTTTTTTTTTGAAAAAAAATTGCAAATTTCTTTTAAATTTTTAAAATTAAGCAAAAACAAATGATTACTTTTAAATTTTTAAAATTAAGCAAAAAACAAATGATTAACGAACAAGAATTTTCTTCTACTGATTACTTTGATTTTGATGAAGCTGAAATGTACGACGAATCATTTCTAAGCTTTAATCAAAACGATCAAGTATCCACACGATCTATTTCTCCAACCTTACCTTCTAATGCAAGTTCTTCCTTAAATAAAATCGAAAATGTTCAAAATGAGTACGGTGAAAACGAAAATGAAAATGAAAATAATGGTGATGATGATGGTCATAATAATTCACCTCAATTACAAACTCAATCGTCACCGGAAACATTAGATACAAAACATCTAGCATATAAAGACCCTTTGGAAATTAAAAGAAAAATGTATCCGACATTTGTGAACTCGGATTACAATTTATTCAATTGGACCTTTGTCCATAATGACGCGCCATTATATTTTAATTATGATACCGCGGAAGGGTGTCTTCATGCCGAATGAGATTTTATTTGACTTCAGTCAAGGATATT